ATTTCACTTCTTACTACCCAGAAACAGCCTAATTACTCTCATCTAACTATTACTCATCCTAAAACCTCATCCCCTTCTTCCTCCATATTTGTAACCTTTAGATGGAATAAGCGCATCATCACCGTCACAATAAGAAACACCAACCCATTGTTATCTATCATCACACAACTACTATCAACATCACTCTCAAAACTAAAAAAAGATCACTGAAAGAGCTTTAGGGTGAAAGATCATAAGCACGACTCATTTGAGAATTTTGATATAAGAATATGAATGACCTAACATTACGTTGTTGAGCCAACTAACATTCGCTTGTAACCAAGGGCATTAAAGGGGTTGGATGTTGGATAAATGGCCCAAAAATATGTAGAGTCTAATGGACCTCTCGAGAGGCCCTGATGCTATGAGAACTAACTAGTGGTCCCAATGGAATCAGAGCCACTCATATGTCAGCCTTGTCAATGTGTGCCAAAGTTCAACTGATTTTTCGCAAAAATCCAAGTAAAGCGGGACAAAACTCAAGGTTGAGTCTAAGCAAATTCCATAAAGTGGGGCAAACCTCAACTAGGAGGTTGAGTCCATAAAGGGATTTATGTGATGCCCTAGCTTAAGATAAGAGATCCCACATCGATAAAATACAAGAGATATGTTAGGTATATGAGTAAGCAGACCTTACCAACTAGTGATACATCTTAAAGTCGTGCGGGCCTAGGCCCAAGGCAAAAAATATCATTACCAGGCTAGGTGTTTAGATTTATACAGCCTGCCTGACTTTTTCCTCACATAGGCTTCTTTTGATTGATTGTTTAAGCAAAGTGTCTCCACTCATAAAGGTATGTTCATCAACTCTTCTTACAACATTATATCCAGTATAAATTTATCTAGATTAGTTCTGGTCTCGACACAACACCACTTCTTAATCTACCTCCAACGATTTCTTTCTCAAAATCAATGAGACATTAGATTATTTTTCAATTATAAAAGATAACAGCCACTAAATCGTGTATTCACTTCTATCTTACATATATTCCCTTAATCACCAAATGAATATTAACACGCATCTTACTTCTAAGACTCTCATAATAAGCATTCAGCAACTTCTCCATCTGCAATACCTCTAGCCAATTATAAAGGAATTTAAGTAAAATATTTCTTTAGGAAAACAAAGCAAGCACGAATTTCTTACAAATGGGCCATGGAAGTGGTACTTGGAAAAAAGGAGGTAATCAACAAAGTACAGCAAAATGTACAATAGCTACATGTACGTAAGCTGAAATATATGAGAATTATTACCAGCTTTGGCACTTGCTACGTTTAATTTTGCGAAGTTGCATAAATGGCTATTCACCTAAATCATTTATCTCAATACAACATATGAACTAAGAAATGCAAATGCAATACTAACCAACATCTGAAAAGGGGCATCTAGGCTGGCACTCGGTGGAGGAACATGCCCAACAATAGCATTGAGCAATTGTGACATATCCTTCACATCAGGAGGACTTTTTGTATATATGGAAGATGCCCATCCTTCTTTAGCTGAAGCGTAAAGAACAGGAAAATCTAGTTGTTCCTCTGGAATAGAATAAAACAAGTTCGATCAGAAAGGTTGACTTAAATTTCAAATGCATAGAAGTTATTAAATATGTAGTTATGTATGGAGGGAGGAAGAGGTCCAAGCAAACTGACTAGAAGAAAGGAACTTGGAAATTTTTATGAAAGTAATTTTCTAGAACCTGAAGCACCAAGGTTTGCGAAAAGATCAAATACAAGGCTCTCAACTTCATTACATCTCTCTTCAGTCACTGCATATGTATAATTGAAGAGTTAATATAAACTATTAAAAGAACTTGTGATGAGAATAACCTCAAAAATGTAATACCTGCAGGTTTGTCTACTTTATTGAGAAGAAGAATGGGGCGTAAACCATATTTAAGGGCCTTGGCAAGAACAAATTTTGTTTGTGCAAGTGGACCTTCACCAGCATCAACAACAAGGACTGCTCCCTCAACCATGCCAACAACCCTCTCAACCTGTAAGAAAATGAAAAGTGAAAAGCTTACAATTTTCTTCATGTCAACCGAACAACACAAGGCAACACTTGGAATAAAAATCAATGAAACACCACATGACAAAGTCAGATTGATAGCGCACTTGACACAAGCTCCACTTCTTCTTTTTAACATGAAGATAACATATAAACAATAAACAAAAGCTATTGCACTTCAACAGGGTAAAATTGAATTCACTTTCATCCAAAGGAAACATCAGATATATGCAAAAGGGCTGACAACGAAAACAGTGCGGATTGTCTAAGAAAATTTTATCAAGCTAGTGAAAGAAAATTTTGTTTAGGACTTTTTCAAATATTTTTAAAGAAGTGCAGGTAAGGTACTTCTCATTCAAAAGCGCTTCTTCCACACACATAAGACTCATACATCTTCAAACAAAGAAAAAAATACAACTATCAACTTCCACAAAGTTCTTATTCAATATTTTTTGCAAAAAAAACTTTCCCAAGTATTGTCGAGACGGTTCCTCATGACAACCTTTACCACAAAGAATCTCTTTTACAACAGTCTTACTTTCAAAGATGTAACTAAGGAGATGATGGAATAACATTGTTATGAATCTTTAGGGAAGGATCGCTTCACCCGGACGATATATAAATTCACTTTGTTGAAGAGAGGCTGAAACCTTTTCATTTAAAGAGAGAACTCTGATCCCTTCAACTCTTCAAAGGGAGACTAAAACTTTAGAGTTCAATGGAAAAGAGAACTCTAATCTCTATCTTGCTTTTTCCTGGAATATGACTATTTATTCGTCAAAAGCCACTTTAAATAGGAGCCTTATTACATCAATAGGAAGTCTAATTCCTATGAAACTGGAGACTTAAATCCTATTCCAAACTAATAGCTTAACCTAATCCTTAAGAAACTATAAAACATAAACCCCATTCTAGAATAATAAATAAAATTACTTAAATTATAATTAATTATAAATAAATAAATCTACTTTAAAATATAATTAAATACTTAAATTAATTGACTTCCTCGCATTCACAACAAACATCTTCCCCTAGAGCTAATAGTAGCTTGGATCAATCATTTTTCCTCTTCACTAAGCCTGAATGACTTCCCAAAATCTTGAAATAATTATGATTCTTATTAACACAATACCAAGAGATCCATTTATTGATTTTAGAGACAATCTGACACCTAGAAATACTTCTTGCTTTTGGAGAAATCATTTACAATGGTCATCCTAATACAAAGAATATCAACTTTTTTCTATTTTATCAACCCCCCCCCCTCAAAATCTAAATAATTCATCACTTTCAAACACTGAAACACTTAAAACCCAAGGTAATAGTATAATTACCAATTCTTGTAGTAACTTCTATGTGATTTATATATCTGACATTGACTGATTGTACACTAAGAAAAGAAACACAAAATGAAAAAAATAATAAAAACACTTGACCACCAAAAATCTTCATAAAATAAATACTTACTTCACCACCAAAATCTGCGTGTCCAGGAGTGTCCACCATGTTTAGCTCTTTGTCCTTCCACGAGATGGATGTAACCTTAAAAGTGTTAAAAGCATATCAGAGCTCACCCAAATTTGGTCCAAACAACATAATTAATGGAGGTTACTTGAATAGATATCAGAAAAATAAAGACAAGCAAAACAGCAAGGCCCAAAAACACAACAATATCCTCATCTTCAAAAAGTGAAATAGCATCTACAATTCGGCGTGTTAGTTTAAACTTCACTCATCCCAAATTTATGAACTCAAATTATTCAAAAGTCAGATAACTTCTTCTTCAGTGTTATGTTAAACTACGGCTATTTCTTTTTATTGTTTTAAAACCCATATACTATCTATTGATAAGAACAATCAATTACGACCTGACTTAAGCTGAAATATAATCAACTATCCTAGTACTAAGCCATTTATTTTAGCATTGTAAAATTCGATAAAAATAAAATACATCTTTTTATGAAAAAAGTAGATTAACAGAGCTTATCAACCAAGGCATCACAAATCATCCCAAAATCTAAAAGTTCTATATGACATGTTAATTTACGCCTATATGCTTTCAAGTATGAGATCGTCATTCAAAAATACTTCTCATCCATAAAGAACTTGGACAAACCCTCCACAAGGAAACAAAAACAAAAAAATAAATCTCTGAGAAAACTTCTTATTAGAGCATAGGGGAAAGAACAAAAAGTAAAAAGGAATTGGACGCTTAATTTCTGCTTCTAACTCTATGTTCACTATGATTCTATACTGCCTTTGTTTCTTTTTATATGATGATATTACCTTTGTAGGGGGTGTCTGGAATTGCTTTTTTCAAGTGGCTTACTATACTATAAGCTAAACTCCATAAGTTGAGAACACCCAACTTTTGGATTTTGGCTTTTTTTTTTTACTAATTTGAGCCTAAAACAGAGCTTTAAAACAGTTCTTATGTTTCACAGACACTTCCAAAACTAAAAAAAAACGCTTAAAACCAAAAGTTGCTTATAATAAGTCAATCCGAACACCCACATAGTTTACCACAAAAAGCATTTACAGTTTACGATTTAGGGAAACTGCATTTTCTCTCTAATTGATTTTACCCTCTTAAATAACATCACCATGCATTTGTAGTGTTCAACGACTTGTAAGTCCAAGATGGTGTAACCATAAGACGGAGAGGAGCAAAAAATTGCTATAAAATTGTTAAAATAACACAAGCAAAAAATCTTAAGAGTATCACTTCAAGTTACCTCAAGTTTGATGTCAGTAAATGTGAAAATACTTTTTGATGTGTTAAAGTGTATGCACAGTGTAAAGTTTTAGGCATTCATAAAACCTGTCAATTTAAAAACAATCAACAAACCCTGAAGATAAGGGTGAAGGAAACCAACTATCGACCAAGGCTGAAAATAAGGGTGAAAAAACCCAACTATCAACTAAAACTATCAAAAATCAGTATCATCCATATCTGGCTCAGTAAATATACCTTCTTGTAACTTTCAACACTCAACAACCAACCACATGTACCAGCCTTAAGTCCGGCCTTTCTTTCATATTGCCGGTGGAAGTTGTAGCTTACTTTCACATGGTGACAAGCTCTAGGTTTTTAAAAATCACCATTACCATAAGTATTTAAAAACCAACATACATCTTCAAAATCACAGACAGGTTCCTAATACCAGAACATTAAGCTAAAGAACCTAAAAGCACCATTACCATATAAATTTTAAAACCAGACATACATCTTCAAAATCACAGAGAGGTGCCTAATACCAGAATGCTAAGCTAAAGAATCAAATTTGATCAGCCATTAAGGAGTAATCTAATGTAGGCGGATTTGGTCAGGGAGATGCAGAAATAGTACTTCAAGATCCATTAAGCATACTAGTCACTAGTGGCAATCACAAAACATCTTAATCTTAAAAGAAAAAATTTAATCCATATAAAGATTAAGTACCAACTAGTCGACTAAAAATCAACATCATCCATATCTGGCTCAGCAAATATACCTAGCTGTAACTTTCATCACTCTACTACCAACAACACGGTAGCAGCTGTAAGTCCGGCCTTTTTTTCATCATTGCCAGTGGAAGCAGTGACTCGTTCGACTCAAAGTGACAACCCGTACAATTCTAATACCCTATATCATCACAAGTATTTAGAAACCAACATGCATCACAGAGTAATCCTGAATACCACCAACAGTGAGTTGTACGTCAAACTCAAATAGCATCTTCAAAAACAAAGAACAGTTCATGGTAATCTTAAGAATCATACAGCTAGTCCTCACGAAACCTCTAACTCTAAGAAGGAAAAAAATCAAATTAGTACACAGATTAAGAACCAGGCAAAAGATTGGGAGAAGAAAACCAGCCCATTGGTTAAGACTTTCTAAGATCAACATCATCCATATCTGGCTCAGCAAATATACCTAGTTGTAACTTTCATCACTCTACTACAAACAACATAGTAGCAGCTGTAAGTCCGGCCTTTTTTTCATCATTGCCAATGGAAGCAGTAACATAGCATCAACCATTAAAATTCTGATATTCTACATCATCAGATGTATTTGAAAAACCAACAAGCATCTTCACAATCACAAAGCAATCCTGAATACCACTACAGTGAGTAGTGAGTCAAACTCACATCACATCTTCAAAATCCAAGAGCAGTTCAAGGTATGCTAAAGAATCATACTGGTGGTCCTAGTGAAACCTCTTAGTCTTGGAAGGAAAAAAATCAACTTATACACAGATCAAGTACCAGACAAAAGATTTGGAGAAGAAAACCAACTCATTGGCCAAAACTTTCTGAGATCAACATCATCCATATCTGGCTCAGCAAATATACCTAGCTGTAACTTTCATCACTCCACCACCAACCGCATGGTAGCAGCAGTAAGTCCGGCCTTTTTTTCATCATTGCAACTTCAAGATCACAGAGCAATTCTGAATACCACGAGTAGAAAGCTTTGGCGCAATAGTGAGTACTGTAGCGACTCAAACTCACAAGTCACCGCATCTTCAGAATCACAGAGCAATTCATGGTCTAATGATTGTAACATTTCCATCTGAAGTCTAGCAACTATGGTTTTTATCTTAAGATAATAAGGTGCAGGAGGGTGGACTTTTTTTGTAGATTTACCACATGATTATGCATTTTTTATTCCGAAAACTCTATCCACCTATAATTCAATTGGTATAAAAAGCTATGGACCAAGTGAACCCGACTTAATATATACAGTTGAATCCAGCTCCAGTCATAACATGTACGTTACAAAAAAATGAACTTCGTTATAGAAAAGCTTCAACAGTATCCGCATAACCAGTGGCAAATAAGGGATTTAAATTAAATACCTTAGAAGCAATAGTGATGCCGCGCTCTCGTTCGAGGTCAATAGAGTCTAAGGCACGCTCGTGAGGTATATCAGCGCCGCACTGACGAAGCAGCCTATCCATGAGAGTAGTCTTTCCATGATCGACGTGAGCTATAACCGCGACATTCCTGAGCCGGCCAGGATCCAGAGCGCCGCCGGGTGCTGTGGCGGCGGAGCCAACGGGGGCGGTAGCTGTGGCGGTGGAGAAAGCTCGAGCATAGGATAAAGGTTTGATATGAGAATAATGAGAGGAGGAGAAGGATCTCCTAGTGGTAGACCAGAGAGATCGAAGCAATGGACCGACCATTTCGAACTCCAAAGAGAGAAATGGCTCTTCTGCTTCTCTGCTAAATCTTAGTCCTCTTGTTTACTTGGGGGTTTAGGGTTTAAGAAAAATGAGTCCAAATTATAAAATAACATTTATTTTATTGGTCTTAGAAAAAAAATCCTTTCTCTATCAAAATAAAAATGAAAAATGGTCTAAACTATTCTTGAATAATAAATTATTATATATTTTGGTAAAAATATATAAGAGATATTTAAAATTGAATATCAAAGTAATATATTGTGTATGTATAAGTTTTAATTTGGTTCCGTTAGTTCTTCGATTTTTTTAATAAAAATCATATCCATATAAATTGGCATAAGTAGTTTTCGATTTGGATCATTTTTATCCAAATCGTGAACAACTCTAGCTAAGGTAAAGAAAAAATACTAGATTCTCAACTTTTGTCATTATAAATATATGTAATGAATATCAAAATTAGGTGTATGTCAAGATTCAATGAGTTTTTTCAATTGTAATTTAGGGATAAAAACAACTTCTTCTTCTTTATTCCCCCTCTCGCATTTTTGTCCTTTAGTAACTCGAATTTATAGTCTAAAAATTGAAAGTGAGGGTGCTTATCATTCGAAACTCCTTCCTAATGCGTGGAAAAAACACAATTTAAAGAAGTGAACCTAGTTCCACAACACAAAAGGAGAAATTAGTAAGAATCAAGGCACATGTAATACTTACATGTTCACCTATTACATAATCAGGAGGGGTTGAACTCCTTTAGCGGAAAATTACATTATTTATATATGATTAAAATTAATGTTTATATATATAATACTTATTGAACCCCTTCCAACTTTTTCTTGTATTTATTTTTTCAAATGTTGCCCCCCACCCACCCACCCCCCTCCAAAAAAAATTATAAAATATTAACGATTGTGGTATCAAAGTTTTAAATCTCTAACAAGTAATTGTATCTATAATTATTGACTAGTTTTATAATACATCTTGTCTATTTCGCGTGCCCAACTCTTGCATGGAAAAGGGAATCAATCGACCTATTTTGCCTTGTGACTTTACATTAAGTTTAATCATTTCTTCTTAATAAGAGAAAGTCTTAAATACTTTCTTTTGAAATATCAGTTCTTTCGAAATCAACCATTATTATAAAGAAGAGTTGGATTACTTGTTGGTCATAGTATATACATAATCAATTTTGATTCTTAATAAGAAATTTCGAATAAGATTTTGGAGAATCACAATTATTTTTCAAATATTTTATTATGATGACTTATTTATGCACATATTATGACTTATTTATACATATTCCTCCATAAGAGGGTAACTAGCTTGCATAGCAATACCACACATTCCTCCATTATCACTTGACCCCCTCTTAATTTTCATATAACCACTTTCACCCCACATAGTACCCCATGAATTTTTTACTATCCAATATTTCTCACCATTATTTTCTTCCACATCATAGCCAATTAATGTCACTGCATGATTTAACATATTTCCACAATAGCCAGAAAATACCCCTCTAGAGTATAATTGAAAATTATAGCCACTTGCATCAATAGCCACTGATATTGGTTGTTTGTTAATTGCAACTTGAAGTGATTCCTCATTTGGTGGTACCTTTTCATAATTACTTATCCTAACTTCATGTTGTTTTGCTTTTTTTGTGTTACATTTTTGTTCTTTTCCTATGTATGGATAATTTTTTGAAGTTGTAATCCCACCATTTTCCATTATGTAATCAAATGCACTTTCCATAAACCCTCCATTACATCCTTGATTGTCTGAGTAAACATCGCAATCCATTAGTTGTTGTTCTGATAGTGACACAAGTTTTCCTGTTTTGATCTTGTTGATGCCCTCTATTGCTGCTACTGCTGAAAATGCCCAACAACTTCCTGCATTGTAATAGAGCTTAGTGGCGGAACTAGAATTTTCAATAAGAGGGTTCAAAATTGGAAAGAACAAACATATGAACTAGTCAAAGGGAGTTCAACATCTATTTTATACATCTAAAAAATAATTTTAACCACGTATGTATAGTAATATTTTCCCGCCGAAGGGGGTTTGGATGAACCCCCTAAAAGACATGCTGGTTATGTCCCTGATAAAGTCCGGCCCGTTTGGATTAGCTGATCGAGAATAGTTGATAATCTAATTTTATAAATGAAACAAGTAATTATTCTATCTGTCTACTTTAGTTGTCATGGTTTTCTTTTTTAGAGTCAAACGATAAGAACTTTGACTAATACGATTATTTTTCATCATATTAATATGAAAAAATTGCAATGTATAACACTTTTGTATAGTTTTTCAATATTTAAATATAGAATTAATGTAATCTAATTTAACTTTGAAAAATAGTCGAACTGGCTTTTGAAAAACACAACATGACAACTAAAAATTGACGGACGAAGGAGTATATGTTTGGATGGATGTTATGAAACTAACAATAATTATTAGTTGGTATTGAATGGTGTAACCATGGCTAAATGTTTAGTGTAATTATTTCCGCTAGTATTTTGATGAAAAAATTACATAAATTGGTACATTTTTATAAATAATCACTAATTTTAGTAATTCTTTTTATTTATTACCATTTATAGCATTATTATGTAAAATCTGCAATATGAATCAAAGGTGAATTATATATGCAATATATATGAATTATAATTATTTTTTGAAATATATTATGTTTGTTTGGTAAAAATTTGACACATTATATTATAAATGTATTAAAATGTGTGAAAAATGTATTATCCATCATTAAAACTTGATTATATGTGAATAATAAATTTTTCTTTGTAATATGTATCAAACTTTTATTATAAATGAATTAAAACTGATCAAGTGAAAAAAATTATTATTGCTATAAATGGTAAAT